TTGCGAGTGTCAACGCACATCCTCCGTTCTCAGTAACGCCACTTGTCCAGACAACGCGGATAATTCCGCCTCCAACTCCTTTATATGCCCCTCAAGCCCGGCTACCTTAAGTTCAGATACCTCCTTCTCCTTAGTACGCTCCGACCTACAGACACGAAGAGTATCTTCTAAAACCGCCGCTTCAGAACTAACAGTCGCCAGCCTGTCGGCACTCACATTCAGCTCACCCTTAAGCTCATCAATCTCCGCTGACTTTATACCCAACTCGGCAGTCAAACTGGCCACCTTTGCCTGCAGGTCGGCGTTCTCGGCCATCATACCTCTACTTAACTTGAGCTTATCCTCCTTCATCTTAAGAGATGCCTCGAGTTCACTATTCGGGGCGATGGCTTTCATGAGATCCTCGTCCCGCTCTCTTAACTCCTCAACCTTGCGCGCCAATTGGTCTTCCCTCTGTTTGAGCCCTTCTCAAAACAATTGCAAATCAGAGTCCTGATTCTAGATGTCGGCCATCGCACGATGCTTGGTGCGGTATTTTTGATATTTAAAGGACATCTTCCCGTAGATGGCCATCCTTTTTCTTTCCCGACGCTCACGCTCAGTCTCCATGATAAAGGTCTGCCACAATAAGAAAAAGTTAAAAATGAAGATAGGCTGAAAATAACGACAAAAACCCAACAACGAAAGGCAAGAGAAAAAATCTACCCACAAAGCCATGCCGGCAACGCTCCGAGACAACTCCACATCGCTCATTGTTCTAAGCACCTCGCTCTCGGGGGCAGCACAAAAAGGGGCTAAGACAGATGCCACCTGCTCGCAATTCGACAAGAAGTTATAATCCCCAGGGATAACTCTATGCCGATCAGAATCCTCCATCCTGACCTCTACATGAGTGTGGCGTTCTACAAACTCACGAACGTCCTCCAGATCGACATCCGAATCCGAGGCTTTGCCCTTGATACGCAGGCCCCCTCCAACGTTAAACGATGCGCCACCCTCAGTGGAGCGCACAGAACCACCTCCTGGGTAAACCCCTTCCGTTTGAGGAGTCCTCCCTGCCAAAATAATGTAGCCATGAACGCAGACACGGGCGCCATCTGCAACACGCACGTCCTACTTTTGCCAGTGTCTGCGGCTACATCCTTCCCAAGCTCCATTCTCCTCCTTTTTCTCAGCAATGACTCGTCCACAAGATGATGGGTCGGTACGGAAGAGGCCTCTTCTCTCACGACCATATCGCGAGAAGGACCTTCCCTCTGTATCGGTTGAGCACGACCCTCTTGGAGGACTCACTCAAAGTAAACTGCATTCCCGCAGCAGCGACAGCCTATCGAAATACAGGGACTGGGGCCCTCCATCGAGAAGCACCTCGACCTATAATCAGAAAAAGTCGTATCAATAGACAATGATATACAACTAAGCAATGATACAAGGGAAGGCACTTACCTGATGAAACTCTCGGCCTATAACGTTTCACGAAAGCGGTCCAGTCTCGAGTCTCCACTGCATGGGGCAGCAGACGGGCTACCCAATCCCTTATACCTGTAATAGGGTGAGGTGGATGCCCCATGGCTGCAAACAAGAAGCAAACGAACTCAAAGGAGAATGAAGAAGAAAGGAAAGAGTAAAACGAGTGGCGGCACTTATGGTTCTCGTTCCATCGCTCCGGAAACCTAGCGGGGTTAGACACGATGTGTGCAGTTTTGACGAAGAAATACTTGTGCCAAAACTTATGACTCGCTCGGTCGTCGGTCCCAACCACCAGTCCTTTTATCCCACGGTGCCTCAAATTCACCATAGTACCCCTATGAAAGCTAGGTGAAAACAAGTGGAGTAGATAGAGGTAACCTCACACCTCGCCAGCTCCGTGTACTTTTCCAACAGCAGGAGTATTTTAAGCATCTACGGGGAAAGTTGTGCCGGGCAGACCTGATAGAATCGACAGAACTCCTCCGCTAATGGAGGGAGAGGGAAGGAATAACCAATTATGAAGGGGTACTCGTAAAAAGCACATTACCCAGGCCTATGGACTTCTACGAAGTCCTACCCCGCCGGAACCATATCAACGTGAGCACGAATGTTATATTTCACACGGGGAGCATCGATATGGACTTGTTCTGTTTCGGAGAACACAGGGATGGGAGTAGGAGGAGGGTCCTTGAGAAAGTCACTGCGAGACGAAGGGTGTCTCCGCAACAACTCCTCCACAGTGGGAAATCTGTCCCCCTCTTCCACCGTCTTACCCTCATCGTCGGAGGGAAGTTCCACGGACAACGGAGTGGCGTTAGAAACCCCCACACGAGATCGGTGTATTCTAGGCATCTCTTCTATAGAGAATATGTTAAATAACAGGGGAATCTAAGAACGGAGAATGAGAGAAGAAGAAGTAGAGAAAATGGTGGAACAAATACGAAGGAGATGAGGAAGAATAACAAGTGATGAAATGGCCAAAAGTTTTTGAATAAAACAAACCCTCCACCTATTTATAGGATTGGGTGGCGCCAGAATCGAAGCGGAAGGCTGCATGATGGCACCGAAATCGAAGCGACAAGCCGTTAGCCCCTGCCTCGAAAACACGCATAATGATAACGCATGTAGAAATGACATCATTTCCTGATAAGACACACTACCCAGTGTCTTGTTAAGCACGCTAACCTCCCGTTGTTGGCCAAGCCGTAACGCTTCGTGAAGCCAAATTTCTCCACAGGAGCGAGTGGTGTCCGCTTATCGAGGATGCACCAAGTTGCAACCCTGACAAGCGGAGGGACTAACTGTATTGGTCCAAATTTGGACGACTACGGCCATCGATAGTCACGACAGAAGACGGGATCCTCACAGCCCGACGTCCTGTAGAGGACGACAAGCAACAAATGGAGGATGTTTGATTTTTGTAATAATGTAGGTCCAACAGGAGGTATTAGGAATATACTCTCGAATATTCCTTATAACATGTCCATTAGGATTCAGAACAGGATTGTCCCTTATATATAGTGGGAGATAAATCTTGTAAGGGGGCTCCGGAAAAAGTTAACAAAGAGTATCAATTGTAACACCTTCTTACATAAAGAATTAATGTCTTTTACATGTGATTGGTTGCTTCCGTAAAGATCAAGAAATATTATTCAGTGTGTTCATCTTTTATTATCTCTTGAGTTCTAGAGTTTATTATACTTAGTTAGGATTTACCCCTTCATCCTCTTTGATTGATTTGTTCATAAAGGTTTCAATATCTTTTGAGTCAAACACATACCATTTTTGATTCTTGTGATCATTTCTCTTGATTTATTACTTAGATTTGAATTTTATTAAATCATATAGTGTGTAATAGAAACTTGGCGGTTTTATATTATTGTAGTTACTTCCATATATCACGTACAGTATGCATAACTGTCATCACATTAGGATCAAGACTTGCTAAATTCCATTCGTTTTTCATTTTCTACGCCACAAAATAAAAAACGAAATTTTAAACTTGTACCAACTATTCTCACACAAATCCATTTGCCTAATGAAGAACCTCACAGAGATTTTCCTAGTACTTTCTATCATTTGTCTCCTCCTAACATGGGCGAAGCCACACTTTACTTTGGGTGGTCAATTGACCACCCTTTGTCAGAAAATTACATTGTATATATAGGTAAAATATTAAGTTTTAGAAGTACATAACATATATTGAACATCCTTTGTCGGAATTTATTTTTACCTATTTTAAGTTTGAACATCCTTTAGGAAATTTCTGGCTTCGTCACTGCCTCCTAACATTAGCAGTTGTTGGCAGAGTCGGAGTCGGAGTCTGAGGCGGAGGCGGGGTGGTGGTAAAGGCAGTGGCGGAGGCGGCGGTGGAATAAGTGGCGGAGGCAGAATAAGTGGCAGCAGTGGAATAAGTGGCGGAGGCGAAGGCAGCAGTGGAAGAAGAATCGGTGGTGGTGGAGGCAGGTCTAGTGAAGTCGGTGGCGGTGGTGGAAGAAATATTGGAGAAAGTAATGGGTTTTAGACTGGTCATTCGGCAAGCAGTAGTGCATTTAGTTCATTATGGGTGTATTGCATTACCATGTCTAATTTTTTTTTTTTTTTACTTTTCATTTTTTAGCTTTTATAATTTAATAAAAATTTACGTGCGAAATAGAGTACATAGACGAAGTAAATGCCATTGTGTAGTGATTATTAATTTGTATTAATTAGTATACTATTAATTGTGTGAAAATATTTTTACATTGTATATTTTACATCATCATTGTATATAAATAATTAAAACTCTGATATGTATTTGTAGCAACTATATTTTTTTCGTAAAGAAAACTGTTGGTGCATTATTTTTCAAAACTGTGTTCTAAAGTTTGAACCGCAAGAACTGTCTTGAAGTTATGTTTTAAATATATTGCAAAATGCTGATTATATTTTAAAGAGCAACCCATAAGTGGCTATTGGTGCACTTTTGTTAAGCCCAATAGAAATATTTTTGAGCAAATATCACTTTTAGCCTACGGCCGAAATTATTTATATTTGGTAGCCGCAAAAATATATAAGATTCGGCGCAAAGGGAAATCAGAATCTTTTAACAAAACAAATCTTTTGTTGATTAAATAAGCATCCTAACCATGGTTAAGAATAGAAATTACTACCATTTAGTTCTCTTAATCTTTCATAAGAAAGAAAATATCAAAATCTCCAAAAATTGGAACCAATTTTATATAAATTCGCAAAGCAATGAAGCGAATTGAAAAAATATGCGAGTGTATTGGTATTTTATGATAACGTGATTTACAAAAATTGCTAATCCTGTAAAAGACTTTTTTGTTTTCAAATGCAATATACGAATTTTTGTCTAACTTGAACATTTTTTAAACAAAGTTTCTCCAGCAAAAAAGTTTAGATTACCGATTGTTTAATATTTGAGACAATTAAATAGGTTATAAAATAAGGGTAAGGGGGAAAAAAGCAAGAGTACTCCTTCTCTCTCGGCGCACGTTATATGAGATAACCTGCGCCACCACCGGAAAATGGGAGGAAGAGGGAGGCCAAGGAAAAATCAGACCAAATTGCTAGTAATTGATCGCGGAAGCAAGGAAACTAACTCAAAGGAACAAGGAAAACAACATGCAAAGGGGAAAATGCAGGAAGAGGAACTGGATCTTGACAGTGATTGTGAGCTAAATTGGCCAGATCTGAACTGCAATCGTGTTAATTCAGGTACCCCAGTGAATCCCGCTAATCTAGGGATACCCAAGATGAATGTATCGCCAGTTACCATTGGAGACGCAAGCACTAGCAGAGCAAAACTCAATGATACAGTAACAAACAGTATTGTAAAGGAGCAGGGCAATGGAACAGTGACTGTACGAGCTGAGGAAGACAAGCAGAACCAGACGAAACCAACCATTTTGGGCAGATCGTGGGCTGGATTATTGCATGACAACAAATTAGCTGCAAAAGGAATGGATCTAACATATGTTCCACCGGTGATACAAGAGGGTGAAGTAGTAGTACAGATCCTGGAGGATGATATAGCTGAGGAAAAGCAGAAATTGAATCGAGCTCTAATAATGTATGTAGTTGGAAACACTCCAACTATAGGTGTTGTTGAACAATTTGTTGCTTCTCAATGGGGAAAAGTTAGAAAACCTAAGGTACTATATCATAGTGATGGTTATTTTACAAATCTGCTGAATAGTGTTGAAGAAAGAGATGAAGTGCTGATGAATGGGCCTTATACTATGAACAGTAGACCTGTAATACTAAAAGCTTGGGCTGAGGGTTTTGATTTTAATGAAGAGGTTTTGAAAACTATTCCACTGTGGGTTAAATTCCCAAAACTCCCACTAAACTACTGGAGTAATAAGGCACTTAGCAAAATTGAAAGTGGACTGGGAAAGCCTTTGTATGCTGATGCTTGCACAACTGTGACTGATAGAATCTCCTATGCTAGGGTCCTCATAGAAATGGATATAACTAGAACTCTACCTGGGACAATTAAGCTGATTGACACCAATGGCAAAGTGATTGAGCAAATGGTACAGTATGACTGGAAGCCCCAATACTGTCAAACTTGTTGCCAAATTGGTCACTCATGCCACAACAAGGAAGCTCAGAAGCAAGATGTGGGGCAGCAAACGTATGGAATGCAGAATCAAGGAAAGTTATGGAAAGTTGTAAGAAGTTTAGATCCCAAGACTGATAAAATTGATACAAGAGGCAGGTTCCTGGAGCAACTGGAAGAAGATAGTGATGGCATACAAAAGCAACAATTC